GAGCGTTGTAGAAGTTTGTCGACTGGATAACGTTTGCCAGAGTGTGAAACTTCGTTTCGCGGGAGATGATAGAGATAAATGAGAAATCAATGAATCACCACCGGGAATCGCCATCAAGGAGCAAAACCCTAGCAGCCACCAATGGGAAATCGATATTTGGGCATTTGTCAAATATCCATTTCCTTATGTGCATGTGTGCCGCTAGCCGTGGCCTGTTAGTTGGTGGGGTTCACTGTAAGTCTCCTCAGGTCACGGGTTCGATCCCCTGTGGTGCGAGGTTCTCGAATAGTTAGGCACATGGCGTGAGCTCTCATCATATGGTCTTGATGCACATGAGAAATCGATATTTAGGCCTCTGTCAAATATTGATTTTCTTTTTAATACACACACACACACACACACACACACACACACACATATATATATATACTTGTATGTGTATGATTGACTATGACGGAGTTTTTTGGTACTAGCGGAAGAACACTAGGTACTCGTGCACGTAAATGTAAAAGAGTTGATATTGAAGTATTTTAATTGGTATAATATGGTGCTTCGATGACAGTTGTACAAGTGTTGTAAGATATAGATGTGCTATTGCTATAATAAAATTCATTGAATTGTATGTTATATCGCAAGTGATCATATTCTTAGAATATCAAATGTTTTATACTGATTTCTAAATCTTTACATATATGCATATTGTTTTTTTACTGTATTACTGTTGTTTAAGAGTGCGAGTATTCACTGTTTTTTGTTAGCTCATAGTTATTTTAAACTAACCTTTCAGGTGCAATTAATTTATTAAAAGAGCAATCGAGGAGAAAATATTTCTAAAAGGCGCAGACAACCTGTAATGAGATAAATTTAACTGTACAATTATAATTTAATTTATTTAGTGGCGTTTGTGTGTGGAGGGGTAGGGGGAGAGGGGGGGATGCTAGAAACACTAGGATAGAACTAGGATTAGACTTGCTTTGATATTAAATGATAACAGAGTGAACCCAAATGACAATAGTAAAAGCAAATATTATTACTGAAAATAAATACTTTGTTACAATTAAACAGACTTGAAAGGAAAATTACAACAAACACAAACTTTCACTATGGTTCGATCAAAGGATGGTGGATGTCGGCTAGGTGATTGGGGGTGGAGGTTGGTGGTTGAAATAGGTGGTGGGTGGTTGGGACAACAAAAGGAGGGGCTGAAATTGCATTGGGAGCGAAGCTGAGAGCTTGGACAGCGAGGGACAACGAAGCAGGAGAGGTGTGGACTGCAGGACAGGAAGGGGCGGCTGTTCGGGGCAGTGGGAGCGAACAAGAATGGTTGAAATTGGAGAACTGCAGTGAAAAACAACAAATGAGTGTTGTTCGGGGGTGGCTACTATGGTGGTGGGTGGCCAGGAGTGCCTTGGGGAAGATTTGGATGGGGATAGAGAAGAAGATAAGCACCACCTCAGGAGAGAGATATTGCCGGAGCATCACCCAATTCCTCATATACAACTCTCAAAGGGAGAAAAAGGACGCTGCTGTCCTAAATAAAACACACAAAAAATTCCGTTACAAAAATTTATACATATATAGGAAATGACTATAAAGGAATAAATGATAATTAGAAAGAAAGCACAATAAAGGAAATCTGGATTGATCGGCCTATCTTCCGCGCTTGTGTGATTCTCGCATTCGCGTCCGATGTCTATAGCGACCGATGCAGAGCACTCCCACATCGCCATGTTACACAGATTGATCTAAATTCATATTTGGAAACAAGAGTTTGAATTTTTCTACACACAACAGTTCCTATTTACACATTTTTATTATCATCAATATGCTTTCAGGTTCTGCGACAAGCACCATGTTTTCCTACTCCAAGACTGACAGTGAGCTGCCTCACCCTTCCTGTGTGGGCCGTCATGTAAGCTTGCGGACACTTGAGAGTCGCTGCTGGTGCATTGTCTTTGTTCATCCCTAGTTTTCAAGATTTCTATTGCCTTTTCTCTTTCTTATTTGCTGTCCCCGTACCATTTTTGGGCTTTGTGATGCAAGAAAACCTTCCAAACAGCTGTTATCCTAAATGGAGCTGCTGGAACCTTTTGAACTGCCATTGAAATTGCAGAGATAAAGTCCAAAAACATTATGAGATATAGTATTCTGGAGTGATTGTAACGGAGTACAAGGTTTCATTGCAATCTCCTTTGCCTGCCACCACCAAGTTTGGGGAATTCACCCAAATAGGGAATTCCTACCCTAACCCTGGAAAAGCTGAAATCTAACTCAACCCACAACTGATTCCAAACCCAAGGGAAGTGATAGTTATAGGCCAATCCCAATTATGACATAAACGTAAAATATGCCCACAAGTAAAATTTTAATTCTGAAATGGCTCTCCTCTTTTAAATTATGTCATTGAGGTAGTTTTAGTGGATTTGATTTAAATAATTATCATTCAATATTATTAGACTTTAAGATGATTTTTGGATGTGATAGAGTTCAGTTTTTTAGAGGGATTAGCATATAATGTTTAGAATTAAGGTAAAGAAATGTTCAGAAGTGTTATGTGACATGGAAGTTTAACTACAAATTTTATGAAACCCAATTTCATCTATAATGTTCTATGGATTAGAATATTGGCCTTTTAAAAAATCATTAATGTATAAGTTGAGTGTTTCATAAGTGTGAATGTTAAGATGATTATTTTAGAGTAATGTTTCTGAGTGAAATCTATTAAAGAGATGGTCCCTAAAAAATAGACTAGGTTGGTCGGGACAAATATAATTAAAAGAAGAATATGTACTTATATGAGTTGAGAAAATCACTGTTATGATCTAGAAGAGAAAGTGATAAATAGAATATTCACTAAAGTTATATTAATAGAATATTCATGATAATTTGCAAAGTTTATATTTTACAGCTCAGAAAATACTCAATAGAAATGAATAAAAAATAAGATTTATAACACTGGCCCCAAATAGTTGGACTAATTCTAATGTTAAGAGTTATAGCAATCAAATTTTATTCGTCATCATCGTCATCATTAATAATTTTTTCCAAACTATCTTTTGCTATTAATTACCGATAATGATTAGAGACTTCAATTCTGTTGTAATCATGGCTCTTTACCAAGCTGAATTTGCTCTGTTCTATATCGCACATGCTCAATCATTATGAGCAGTTTACTTTGCTCCAGCTGCAATGTTTAATGGATTATTCATTGTTTGTAAACAATGTGATTTTATGCTATGGATTGCCAAATCCTCTTGCGATTGTCAATACAATTTTGCATATAATTTATAGCGTGGACAAAATTCTTTAATGATTACCTTCATTTCATTTTTCTTGATCAAGTTGTATTAGATACACTAATATCACAATTTGTATTAGGTTGTTTCAAGGCATTAAAAATTATCGAATTGATGAAAAGGTTTACTTTGAGCAAAACTAGGTCGATAATTCGAGCTTCACTTTTTTTCACTTTGAAGTTAATTTGAATCCATGTGAAAGAAATTTAATGTTTTTTCTTATGCTTCATCTTCTAGCTTTGAAGCTAATACTTTTGCTTCATAAATTTCTACTTCATGTAAAGAACATGCTTCACCAATCATTGTACAAATGTCCTTTCTTCAATTATTTTCTCTAAATGATGTGTCTACTTTTGCAAGCATAGTTTGTCAATAAATCTTTTTTTTTAATGGAAAATACGTTTATTAGTCTCAATCACTATATTTCCCGTTTATTTTCTTTTTAATATTTTGCTTGATTATTATGTATACATATGAAATTTGGTTTTGACCAATTTCATATTCTTTCTCTATCAGCGTGGTTAGAGACGAAACTTGAGCACGCCACCTGCATACTGATTTCTTGTGATTTCTATTAACACTGTCTGACTTACATGAAGTTGGACATATCCTTGAAGCTTGTTAAAACTGGACCTGTTTGACTTCTTAGGGAAGAAAAATGGAAAATGACAAATTTCACATTTAAGTGAAATTCTCTAAAGCGACCATTAGACATCAACCTGAACCTCATCTGTTGTTTTATGAGAGGTCATTGAAATTTCTGTTGAAGATTTGAAGTTGCTATGGTAGATCCAATATGTGACCTTCACAATGCGTCGAGCAATTGTTTGAACGTCATAGTTTTATCCTTTGAGCTGTGTGTGGTCAAACCCTTTTTTATTGGATAAATGCCCTTTCTTCAATTATTTTCTCTAAATGATGTGTCTACTTTTGCAAGCATAGTTTTTCAATAAATCCATATTTTTTTTTGTTGTTTGATGGAAAATAATTTTATTAGTCTCAACCACCATATTCCCATTTCTTTTTTTAAAATTTTTTGCTTGATTATTATGTATGCATATGAAAATGGGTTTTGACCAATTTCTTTTGCTTTCTCCATTGGCTTTGTTAAAGACGAAACTTGAGCACGCTGCCTGCATTCTGATTTCTTGTGATTTCTATTAACAGTGTCTGTCTTACTAGAAGTTGGACATATCCTTGAAGCTTGTTCAAACTGGACCTGCTTGACTGCTTAGGGAAGAAAAATGAAAATGACTATTTTCACATTTAAGTGAAATTCCCTGAAGCTACCATCAGACAACAACCTGAACCTCATCTGTTATTCTATGAGAGGTCATTGAAATTTCTGTTGAAGATTTGACGATGCATCAGTAGATCCAATATGTGACCTTCACAATGCGTTTGGCTGTTGTTTGAACGTGATAGTTCTATCCTTTGAGCCGTTTGTGCTTTTATTTTTCTTAGAATTCTCTGCACTATGTACTCCACTGCTTATTTCAAACGGTTGGTATTAACATATTTGAAATGAATTTATTAGGGTGTTTGCTGTCCAGAGCTCTTAGTAATTTTTATTTATTCATGCTTTTCTGATTGAAAATCATCGGTCAACATCTAAATGAATTAATTTGAAGGATTATTAGGTCTAGTTTCTTATGCTTTTAACCAATCATTTGAGATAAATATGAAGATTTATTGATTTTGCAGCCACACGACCATCCTCCAAACATCAGAGTCCTAAAGCTCATCTTCATGTCTTGAAGTATTCATCTGGTGGAGTTATTGAGGTTTGATCATACCTTTCGAAGATAATTTAGCTGTTATTTTGTGATATTAACGTGTATATAAATTTTTAGTGTTGTCCAGAACTTTCACACATGCATTAAGTTTCCTCATGCTTGTTCAATAAAATGTTTCTAAATTTTTTTATCATAGTTACCATCTTTTTGTATAATTTTTTTTTACATTGTTATATTTGACCATTTTTTCATTAAGCCTTTCACATTAATTTTATTTATCCACTATGTTATTAGATCTCTACCTTTATTGAACATATTTAGTCTTATGATTATTTAGTGTCAAAATGCGGAATGAATATATTCGTGATAGGGTTGGTGTAGCTCCTGTGACAGACAAAATTAGAGAAAGTCGTCTTAGATGGTTTAGGAGAGTAGATGTTTTAGACATTAAACGTCGACCATCTGATGATCCGATTAGGAGAGTAGATGTTTTAGATTCTACTTGTGTTAAGATAGGCAGAGGTAGACCTAGGAAGACTTGGGCTTATTGTATTAAAAATGATCTTAATTTACTAGAACTAAATGAAAATTTGACACTAAATAGGACGCAACGGAGAAAAAAGATTCATGTAGCCGACCCCACGTAGTGGGATTAAGGCTTTGTTGTTGTTGTTGTTGTTGTATTATCTTCTCTTTAATATTTTCTATGTCCACCTTATCTTTTATAAGGCCATTTCATATTTATCCTTTTTGTCAACACACACCCATCCTAACTTTTAAAATTTTGCTTGCTCTCTTTGTTTTACTACACTTCCATCTTAACTTAATTTATCCTTATTTATTCACACATCCATCTTAACATTCTCATTTTTCCATAGTCAACATGGACATGAATGAATTTTTGTTGCCTAGTGTTATGATTCATATAAAGGTTCTGGTTTACTTGTTATTCTTTAAAGTAGTTTTAAAGTTTCTACTAGGGATTCTCTTAACATACCATGCTTGAGGCAATTCTTCATTTAGCCATCTAAAGTTTTAACTCTAAAAGCCACGTCCCTGTGGATATCCTAATTTGTTTGCATAATATATATTTATAAGATATGCATCATAAATATGCTTGTGTAGATAAATTATTGGAAATATAATCTAAACCATTAAATTAATGTCTGCTAGATTAGTTAAATTAAAATATTAATTTATTTAGTATCATATATTGCAATTGAAGCGTGGGCTTTATTCATTGGTTGTAACTTTTCTAGCGGTAAATTTTATGTCAGGCAATCGTATTAGGTTTGGCTTAAAGCTGGTTTAGGAGGTATAAGTTCCATAGGTGCGCATTTCTTACTGAAATGGGGAAAACAAGAGAAAATATGGGAAAAGAGTTAGCACGCCATGTGACCTCTATGTTTTCTTGCTCCATGGAAGGATATTATTGTAATTACAAAGTAATGCAAAATGCAATATGTTGTGAACTATAACATATACCAGTTGATGTGGTATATATATATATAATATAAGAACGATCTTTGAAGAGCGAAAAATAGAATGAGAAAATTCATACTAAGAACACACAGATTTACGTGGTTCAACAAATTGTCTACGTCCACGGAGTTGCAGAGGATTGCAATACTTGAGGAATTTACACCAATCATCTTTTCGACTTACAAGAGGAATCTTTCACTTCGTTGCTCTCTCTTATTCTCTCTCTGTTCTTCTCTCTCTACACCGAAATACACCGAAGAAGACAAAGACAAACTTAGAAGAAGACAAACTTACAAGAGAAATAAACCTAATTTCTCTTATGCCACAAACCACCAAGAATAAGCCAAAGGAGAATAATATTCTCCTTCTTCTTCTTCCTTCTGCCACAAGGAACTATTTCTTGCTCTTCTCTTCCTCTATCTTGAGGAAACCTGAAGAACACCAAAAATGTGACTTAGAAACCCAAGGAGAGCCATCCGAAGCCTTTATCACGAATAGGAAGGGAGCGAAGGGATGCTTCGCTTCGCGTCAGAGAAAGGCAAGAACGGTTCGCAAAACCTAAAGGTTGTGGTCGTGACTTTTCGCGATCAAAACAGGGAGGCGGGAGCGGGATCGGGATCGCGCCAATTTGCGTTTTCGCTTCGCATGTGTGCGGGAGTAGGCGGAGACAAGATCTTCTATTGGGCTCCAGCGCTAACAATCTTCCACTTGGAAACCGATACACATGCTACAACATCTCCTTCTTCGAACTGATATCCTTCACGGGAGGTGTCGCCCTTTTTCTTCAAACATGAATCCTCCACCATGAATCCTCCACCATGAATACTCCACCATGAATCCTCCACATCTGCAACTCAAAACCCCGTCTTCACTCCAGAAGACCAACTGAAGCTGCACACAACTTCAATTTCTCAAGAGTAACACCCTCAGTCAACATATCAGCAGGGTCAACATAACTTTGCACCTCCAAGCTATTTCTTGAATTACTCTTATCTCTGCTTGCAACTCTCTCTGCATGGACAATATTCTGACTTTGCTGAAAGCATTTTTCAACAAGTTTAGCTTTGTACCTCTTACTGCCATCTTGCTCAGTCTTCGCTCGGTACACCTAATTGTTGGGTAATGCCTTCTTCCCTGGTGAAAGTTCTGTCAGCTCCCACTTGTTCGGACTTTCATCCTGCAAAATTTCCTCATAGCTCTGTGGTTCTCCACCATCTGTCTGTGAAATAATAGGAATGGGTGTCCCGGACCCACTCTTCTCTTCACTTCCATCATGAACAAAAAAATGAACTGCCAACAATAATGCATCATGTACTTTTTCAGATACCACATTTGCACTATCATTTTCTATATTCTTGGGATTCCTGCAGTTCCTCTTTATGTGGCCAGCCTTGCAACAATTCCAACAGTTTGCTGACCAGACTTTGATTTTGATCTCCCTTTATTTGAGTTTCTGTCCTGCCATCTCCCTCTGAAATCAACATTTAGTGTCGAACTCAAACCTGAAATCTTGCCAGAATCTTTTCTACGTACCTCCTCAGCCAAAATCAAGTCACGAATATCATCAAATTTCAGTTTAGATTTACTTGCAGAACTGCTAACTGCCATCCTCATGGCTTCCCAACTATTTGGCAACGATAGCAACAATATCAGCGAACGTATCTCATCATCAAAATTAATTTCAACAGACGACAATTGATTTGTGATAATATTGAAATCATTCAGGTGTTGAACAACAGAAACATCTTCTACCATCTTCAAGTTGAATAACTTCTTCATCAAGTACACCTTGTTATTCGCTAATGACTTTTCATACATACCTGATAAGGCTGCCATGAGATCTGCAGTCGTCCTCTCCTTGATGACGTTGTGTGCAACGAATCTCGATAGAATCAATCGAATAACCCTCATAACTTGTTGATCCAATAAATCTCATTCAGCTTCATCCATCATTTCAGGTCTTTTCCCTAATAACGGAAGATGAAGTTTCTTTCCATAGAGGTAGTCTGTCTACATCCTCCAATAACCAAAATCTGTATCATCAAATTTTTCGATCCCTGAAATATTCACTTTATTTGCAGCCATCATTCTTTCTCAGATCCGAACAAAGCTCTGATAACAGTTGTTGTGAACTATAAAATATACTAGTTGATGTGGTATAGATCTAATAGAAAAACGATATTTGAAGCGCAAAAAATAGAACGAGAAAATTCACACAAAAAAGAACACACAAGTTTACGTGTTTTGGCAAATTGCCTACGTCCACGGAGTTGCAGAGGATTTTACTAATTGAGGAATTTACACTAGTCGGTCTTTTCGACTTACAAGAGGAATCTCTCATTTCGTTGCTCTCTCTTCTCTCTCTGTTCTTCTCTTTGTACACCGAGATACACCGAAGAAACTATCCACCGAGATATATCGAAGAAGATAAACTTACAAGAGAAATAAACCCAATTTCTCTTCTGTCACAAGCCATCAAGAAGAAGCCAAGGGAGAACAATTTTTTTTTTCTTCTTCTTATTTCTGCCGCAAGGAACTATTTCTTGCACTTCTCTTCCTCTATCTCGAGGAAACCTGAAGAAGAACACCAAAAACGTGACTTAGAAATCCAAGGAGAGCCATCCGAAGCCTTTATCACGAACAGGAAGGGAGCGAAGGGATACTTTGCTTCGAGTCAGAGAAAGGCGGGAACGGATCGCGAAACCGTAAGGTGGCGGTCGCGACCTTTCACGATCAAAATAGGGAGGCGGGAGCGGGATCGGGATCGCGCCGATTTGCGACTTCGCTTCACATGTGCGTGGGAGTAGGCGGAGACGGGATCTCCTATCGGGCTCCAACGCTACCACAATAGAGTGCCTCTTTTATTTTCTGTGTCTCAAGTCTTCGAATTTCAAACCTTGTTGGAGTTATGGTTAGGTAACTGGAATTTGGATGATTGCCTTGTTAGTGGAAATATTTGTTTTCCAACCCCCACCTCGATGAGTTATTTTGCTATTAAAAGTTGTGTTCCTGTTGCATGACCTGGCAGGACACTAAAATGGATGCCCATCGGTCCACTTCTTCCCATCTTCAGCCTCCTTCCCCAACCTTGGCCCACCTGCACTGTGGTGCTAACAGTTTCATTTTTTATTTTTTAGTTAATTTGAAAAGTATTAATTATATATAATCTCTTACTTGCTAGAGTAATCCCATATGGTTTAAGTACTATCTAATTTATGACAGTTCTATTACTTTCTAGCCTGCAAAACTTTACAAGCTGAAGCATCTTACAAAAGTGGAGGTTGTTCCGAATGATAATAGTGGATGTACCTTTATGCTGGTATTTTTCCTGCACTATGCTCTCATTTTTAGCTATTATTATTGAGGAACTTTTTTTGATAATTGGGCTCAGTTTGTTAATGCTAATTAAAATTATCTATCCTGGTTCTATTCAGGGATTTGATAATCTTAGAAGTCAAAGTGTTACTCCTCCACAGTGGACAGTACGCAACATTGATGACAGGTTCACTTGGGCGAATCTCCAGATTCATACAGAGATTCTGCCATAATTATTACTTATGTTCTTAGTTATGTGTTCCCATTGTTTATTGATATTTTGTGACCCAGATTTTAAATTTACATTGATTCGTTTTTATACTTGTTGCCATCTATCTGTAGGAACCGGCTGCTTCTTCATGTTTTAAATGTCTGTAAGGAGATGCTGGGTCATATGCCTAAGGTTGTTGGCATAGACGTTGTGGAGATGGCCCTTTGGGCTAAGGTAACATTTAAAATAGTGACTAGTCTTTTGCCTTTTATTTACGTTATTTTTCTTGCTATCATTTATATAATCTACCTCACAAAAAAATCACAAAGATGTTTTTCTTGGATGGTATTTCATCCATCCAAATGGGACTGAGTTTGTCATTGATGTGGAGATAAGATTGCACACTTCAATTTCTTCACGAACCTTGTTTAGGTTTTGATCGGAAGGAGTTGGGGTGATGTGTTCTTTGCCTTATTGGTTTGTAAAATTAAATTAGGACAAAAAGAAAGAAAAAAAAAAGACTCAACATGCTGTTTCTGTTATCGCAGGTGTGCAAGTGAATGCTGTGAATTGGCATGTAGTGCATGCAAGGATAAGAAATACCACGAACTTATGATTTTTGGTAGGATTTGTGTGATTAATGTGCGTATAAGATTGCGCATGACTACATGAATTCAAAACTTAAATGATATCCATTACCATTTTAGATAATTTTGTTAGATAAGTTTCAAATTTGTCTTATTTGAAATAAATTAGGTATTTATATTGATAAAATAGGCCTATGAAATAGCGTCATCGTATGATTTTAATACTTCTACTGATTTTTAGGTGGTCTAATACTAATGTTTTAAAGACTAACGGCAGAAGAGTAGTTTTGAAAGCCTAATGTAAAATTTGAGTTCACATGAGGATTTAGTGCTCCCAAGAAATTCTAATGGAAAGTTTTGAACACATCTTTGTATTTTCAATCATACTCCCTTTTTTTAAGTCATAAAAGTGTTAGAGTAGAAATCAATTTGGAAAAACGACTTTTGTTAGAAGTGATTTTGTTAAGCTATAGTATGTTAGAATTTTGGTTAGGCAATAGAAGCGGAGAGAAGTGTCAGATCTTTTGTGAGCATGAATGAACTTTATTTAGGCCACTTTTGATAGCTATCCGTCTACAATTCATACATTATAATTATATGTCATGGGGCTGTGAGTATGGAAGAATTTTTGGTCCAAATAGTAGTTTTTTCCTTGTTTGTAATTAGGGAGTATGAGAATTTACTTCTTTGAGCAATCAAGTTTATTTTAATGATGTTTTGGAGGAATCTTTTTTTACAAGAATAATTGGTTGCCTATCTTTTGATGTCCAGACACTGAAATTCGTAGATGAGAGGTGATAGGATTTGTCTTTGCTGCCAATTTTCTTCCGAGTATTCCAGTTCAACTTTCATTTTGAATTTTTAAAATTTTAAATATAAAATTTTATTGTGAGGTTGATTTATAGAATTGGAGTTGCCATCTGTTTGACCATTAGTTTCTTCATTAGGTTTGCCACTGTCTTCTGGTGAATCGTGCACATATATATTCACTACGCTTATTAGACAAAGCCTGATTTTTAGTTTTGGTGAAGGAACTGTCATTTTGGAGTTGAGACTTTCTAATGATATCCAGTTGACCTCACGAGAGTAGAACCTTAATGATTTTGATACCATTTTGAAAATCAGAATGAGAAGATAAGAGAATAGAAAATGAGAGATTGTATGATTGAATTTATTTCCATTATGCAAAAAATATAATGAGAAGTTGTACATACTCATGCAGAGGAATAACTATTATTGAAAAAATAAATCTGAAAATCATTCTTTAACTGTGGGATCTAGAAACATAAATATGATGTTGATATCCTAGAATTACTAGATTGATGTAAATGGAAAGCTGTTGTCTACATATTACTAGATTATTGTACATAAAAAGTTACTGTTCGCATGTTTTTGGATTGCTATAGATGGAAAGCAGCTTTCGGATTATTGTAATGCTTTTCTACTTAGGGTAAGAGTGTTTCATAAATGACGTAATTTACAACATTTGGTTTGAATAAAAAACTTCTTCCAAATTTTTTGAGTGAAAGTTGGATGTATGATTTCTTCTAATGTGATGTAGGTGTGGCAGGCTGATTTTAGGGGAATAATCTCTTTTTATAGTTTTGTTACCTGATTTTCTGTTGTAGTTTCGTTCATTGTTTATTTCTTGCATTATGTGTTATTGGTTGGCTCAATGCTTTTAACTTTTGTCAAAAGAAGGCATTCATGAATTTGAATGTGGAAATTAATTTGTCTTGATTTTGATTTGATTTGATTTTATCTTCCTATTCCTGTTGAATTTTGGAATATTTGCTTTCTTTCCATTATTACTTGGGTTTAACTCCACTATTACCTTTTTTTTTTCATTTTAGGAAATTAAGTTACTGGTATAATTGGTAACTAGCTACCTGGTTGTCCTCTCTCTCTCTTTTTGCTTGAAAGTATATAATAAATCATGCTAGTTGCAGAAGGAAACATAACCCCGATTTGTCTTGCATTAGACAGGGATTTAATTTGATGATAATCCATCTAACATGTATTAAGGCCGTTCATTTTAATCTTAGCATCGTATTAATCAGTTTTTTTATATGCAAGTTGCAGAAGTTGGTTGACAAGTTCAGCCAACTGGTTAGCTTCAAACAGGGCTTATCCTGTTATTTTGTAGTATGAAATTTGTTTGATTTGGAATTTGTTAGTTATCATAGAGGATATATTCCCAGGAAAATATTCCTACAGTCAATAATGAAGTTAAAATCCAAGGTGGTCCAGTTGCATCGGTTATAATACAGAGAGACTCTCAAGTTACAGTTGAAAGAGAGCTTGTTTCACAAGCTGAAGAAGAGGACATGGAAGCTCTTCTTGGAACGTAAGTTTGTCCGTATTTTCCTGGTACTATATTAAATTGTCGTGCATATTTTTATATCCTTTTGCTGGCTTCTACTTAATAATTTTTGGTAATCATATCATAATGAAGAAAATAATGTTTAGATATAAGCCAACCGCATTGATTTAATTATCCTTTGCTGCTTGATAAAACTTCTCATGTTAGCTCATTTTGCCTGTTGAAAGAAACTGTTTTTTTTTCTTGTTATATTTTAGCTTTTTGTGTTTAGCAAATTAATTAGGGTCAGTGGCGTCCTTTGGGAATTCTGAAGTTCGCTAATACATTCTCATTCACTATGAATCTTTCCCTTAATCCAACTTGGCTTGTAAAATTGAAGCTTCTTTAAGCTTTCTGTATTTATTTGTAATCTCCTGTTACTATATGTTGCTCAATTAATTATGAATTAATATGGAATTTTATTTTCTCATTACTTGGTATACTTGAGAGATGCTCTAGAATATTATCTTAATCCCAATTTGCATGCTTATGGTCTAGAATGATCGAGTTTTTCTTTACATTAATCTCCTTTTTTATTATTATTCAGAGAAGAATGTCTCAGTTGTCAAAGCATAATTTAATAAAATGGGAAAGCTATTTTTGCCAAATTATCATCATTTTTTCATGATGCATAACGGCTAATGTAATTAAAAAATTGCAATATATAATGATACATGAAAAGCACATAGAAAAAAAAATTTCATTGTAATTTATGGTAATCCTGGTTCTATAAAGAGCTTGTCACTATGTTGTTCTTCCCGATGTTGTGACGTGGGACCTTTCCCGCGTAGGTGGGACGTGCATGCATGCTGGACTTCCGTCCAGAGCAGATGTTTAGAGGAAAAAATCCTACATGGTCTCCTGATTCGGGATTATTTCTGCCCAAAGGTTGAAAAATCCTTGTGGATCCCTTTTTCTATTATTTTTGAATTAGAGTTAGGGTTAATTTTACTGAGAACTATTTATATATTGTTATTTTTTTGTTTTGTCCCATTTTCTTTGGTTTATGTTATTTTGAGAATTTTCTCCTTGTTTTTTCTCATTTGGAGTGTTGTAGCTTATTTTTCTTCAAGTGTTGAACCTATATCTTGAAGAGAATAGGTGGTGGATTTGTTATGCCGGTGCTTGGCCTTGGGATAATTTTGTCTTTTATTAACCTAAGGTCAATTTATTCTTTTATTATTAGTATTGTTGCTAGTATAAATAGGGTTAATGTGTTTAGGGATAGAGGAGCCATGAGATTGATTTTGAGTCTTATGGTTAGGGTTTGTGAGAGATTTTTTACCTCTAAAATTGTATGAATTGGGAGAGTTCACCTACCTCTCGAATTGTAGATGCTTATCTTTGTATTCGTGTTGTTTTGGATGATTAAAGAAAACATTTACTTTGCCCTAAATTTTGTGCAAGAAATTGTTTTGTTTACTTGTCATATTGGTATCAGAGCGCTCGATCTTGGAAGAAGGAATTGAGGAGAAAGGAATAGTGGATCGGGGCATCCGTATTGATCAGATTGGGAGCTGGGGAAGACCGACGGGATCACGGTCGTTTGGGAAAAGGGATTGCAGCGTACAATAACCCAAACTATCACGATACAGTCGCTAGTTAAACTCATTGGGAAGGTTACTAAGGGATCGTGTCCTGCACCGGTGAAGACCGATGAGATTCTGACAAGTGAACGTTGGGGCTTGCGGCTTGCAGAAACCTGAAACTTCGATCTTGTTGTGATACAGTCATTGTGGCATTCCTTCGACATCACGATTTGAGCTCACTGGGGAAGATCACTGCAAACAGGTAACGCGTTTTTGTGAGTCGGTCATGATTCAAGCTAGTGGGGGAGGGTCACGACATACAAACAACACCAGTCACAGAAGAAGCCAATGCTTGGGATTGCTGCATATAGAAGATCAGGCGCTCTTGATCGACATACATGATCAGGATCGTTGCGTGAAGGAGTTCCACATCTCTTGTGACGAAAGCTAGTGATTGGGATATGCGATGTACAAGTATTCAGATTGCGGCTTATGAAGTTCCACACAACCTTCAATAGTTCCATTGATCCACATACATGAATTTCTGGATTGCGACATCCAAAGTTTCACACACGTCGATCCTGCATTCAGAATTTCCTAATCTCATGATTTCAGCGTAGTGAAGTTTAAAAATCATACAAAGGTCACGACGGCCAAAAAGATGAATGCTTTGGAGGAAAAACTAAGGGAAGAGGTTTGTCAAATCAAATATGGAATATATGAGCATTTATCAGCCATTGAGTGGAGGTTGGAGGGGAGTTTACATCCCTAGAAGAAATTGTAAAGAAGATTACGAAGTCCTACACAAACCATTCACTACTTGCAGCGGGATCGAGCGGCGGCGTTTGGAACCGATGCGAGTGACAACAATCAAAATAATTGGTGCCACATCAGGGCAACTTCACTGTCTCAGGTGGATCTGGAGCTGTTAGATCGGGTGAAGGGATAAGAAGCGGACTCGAGCCTCAACACTTGGAAGGAATGACATGACATCCAAATTGTTGGAATGAGGTAGTATGCAGAATGGGTCGATCGAGCTTTTGGAGCCGGAGAAGATCAATTTGAAAGATTTCGACCCGAAACAGTGAATCATGGTGGGTGGGACCCCTACAAAGAGTTGCATCCAACTTCACTAATGCCCACTATTTTAGCAGCCTTCTAGGTAGAAGACATTTTTGGAACTTATGGGGATGGGCGAGCTGATTATGGGGAAAGCCAAACTTATGGAAAAAAAGAAATCAATATTAGTCGAGAAAGGAAACCCAACCTTTGCTTTATGGGTGGAATGAACTTCAGTCAAAGAAATTAGGGAGACTCATGCATTAGAAAGCTGAAGATGTCGATATTTGAAGGAGTGGATGCTTATGGTTGGGTTTATCGTGCAGAGAGATAATTTGCTATTAATGGGCTGACAGAGGAAGAAAAATTGTTGGCGACAGCTCTATGTTTGGAAGGAAAGATTCTAACATGTTATTAATGGAGAGAACAACGCCAGCCAATTTGGACATTAGAAGTGTTCAAGGTGCAATTGTTGGAACGTTTCAAAAGCACATGAGAAGGGGATTTATACGAGCAGTTTTTTGCATTGGTTAAGGAAATGTCCATCATGGAGTATAGGGAGAAATTTGAGATGCTATCCGGACGTTTGAGAGGATATCAGAAGAAGTTATGGAATGCAACTTTTTGAAATGTTTGAAGCCAGAGATACTTGTATCACTTTGCCTGCTAAGACTGCGAGGATTGGGGGAAATTGTGGAATTAGAGCGGTTGGTAGAAGATAAAACTGTAGTGGAACATGCTAATACGAGCAGAACAAGTGGAGTGCCACACCGTTATATTATGACCACAATGATACTAGAAGCTCAAATAATAGAAATTCAAAGGGAGGCTCCACAGGACAAAAATAATGGCATCAGGGGTAACATTCAAACATCTTGCAGAGACAAATTATGGAGCAATGGGCTAATGGTTATGTTTTCGGCACGATGAAAAGTTTTTTCCAGGACCGTTGCAAGGATTGGACATTACAAATTCTCACAATGTATGACGAGAATACAGGGGATGCAGAAACAGAGAAAATGTGTTGGAGGAGGAACACTCCCACTTGGATGTAGTAGAAGTCTTATTGAATGCGGTGTTAGGATTAACATCAAATCACACCGAAACTTCAGGGGTAGATTTGAGAGCAGGGTGTAGTTGTGTTGATAGATAGTGGGGCCACCCACAATCACCCACAACTTCATCTCTATTTATTGTTAAGCAGTTGGGGCTTGAGATGATGGATATAAAAAGTTTTGTAGTCATGATGAGGACGAGACATGTAGAGAAGAGTAGGGAGTTTGTAAATGAGTGATTTAACACCGCCAGACATTCAGGTGATGGAAGACTTTCCTCCCTTGGATTTAGAAAGCATTGATATTATATTGGGTATGAAATGGTTGCAGTTTGTTGGGAAGACTAAGATGAATTGAAAACTTTTGACAATGGTATTTAAGGAGGGACATAAGATGGTTGTGCTTCAGGCTGGCCCTAGTTTGTGCAAGACCCTAGGCAGATCCATCGAAGATGGCAGATAGTTGGAGGGGCCACAACCTAAGATCTATAAGGTGTTGAGAAGGTTTAGGGAAGAATACGTCTGAAAGTGCGTGAAGGGTTATTATTCAATTGTGTTGCCGTGGATGAAGAAATTGAAGAATAAATTTCAATCGAGGAAAGTGACGACCCAAACTTTTGAAAAGTTAAAGAAGGCCATGACGAGTGTGGCAGAGCTGACATTGAGAATCAAAGTTAAGCCAGTTTATGGGCAGGGGCCATACAACTTGATCAAATAATAAGTTTCCCATCCCGAGGACAAAGTGTTTTTTTGGAAGGGGGTATTGTTATGCCAGTGCGTAGCCCTAAGATAATTTTATCTTTTATTACCCCAGGGACAATTTAGTCCTTTATTATTGTTATTTTTATCAATATAGATAGGACTAATATGCTTAGGGTTAGAGAAGACTTGAGATTGAGTCTTGAGTCTCAGGATTAGGATTTGCGAGAGATTCTCTACCTCTCGTATTGTAAGAATTGAGAGAGTTCTACCTTTTGAATTGTAGGTGCTTATCTTTGTATGTGTTGTTTTGGATTAGTAAGAAAATATTAGCTTTGCCCTAAATTTTTGTGAGACATCGTTCCGTTTCATATCAAAATCCTTGTCGTCATTTGTACGCTGTCGTATCACTTCGGCTGCATTGTTTTTTGACCAGACAGTCGCCAAACTGGTTTAACCTCTTCCAAACTCTGTTGATTTCAGATATGCTCTTTCTATTTCCATTTGCACCCCCACCCCACTACATTCAATTATTAAACACCTTCTAGAAATTTTAAAATGGCATCATTTGATATCATACTCCGACAAACATTAAATTCTTAGGGATTTGTCTTCCTTGTGCATAAACACAAAATCTATGTAAC